TACATACATGTATATACATATATACATACATACATACACAGTATATACATATATACATAAATACATACACATGTATATTATACATACATACATACATACACATGTATATATACACCCATACATACATACATACGCATGTATATATACACCCATACATACATACATACACATGTATATATACACCCATACATACATACATACACATGTATATATACACCCATACATACATACATACACATGCATATATACACCCATACATACATACATACACATGTATATATACACCCATACATACATACATACACATGCATATATACACCCATACATACATACATACACATGTATATATACACCCATACATACATACATACATACACATGTATATATACACCCATACATACATACATACATACACATGTATATATACACCCATACATACATACATACATACACATGTATATATACACCCATACATACATACATACACATGTATATACATATATACATACATACACATGTATATACATATATACATACATACACATGTAAATACACACATACATACATACACATGTAAATACACATACACACACATGTATATATACATACACACACATGTATATATACATACACACACATGTATATATACATACACACACATGTATATATACATACACACACATGTATATATACATACACACACATGTATATATACATACACACACATGTATATATACATACACACACATGTATATATACATACACACACATGTATATATACATACACACACATGTATATATACATACACACACATGTATATATACATACACACACATGTATATATACATACACACACATGTATATATACATACACACACATGTATATATACATACACACACATGTATATATACATACACACACATGTATATATACATACACACACATGTATATATACATACATACACATGTATATATACATACATACACATGTATATATACATACATACACATGTATATATACATACATACACATGTATATATACATACATACACATGTATATATACATACATACACATGTATATATACATACATACACATGTATATATACATACATACACATGTATATATACATACATACACATGTATATATACATACATACATACACACATGTATATATACTTATGTACATATATACATACACACATATGTACATATATACATACATACACACGCATGTTTATATAAATACATAAATATATACATACACATGCATATATATATATATATATATATATATATATATATATATATATATATATATATATATATATATATATATATATATATATATATATATATATAAATATGCTTGTGTGCATGAGTATATTTCTGCATACATACACATACATATACACAAAAATAATGATGGCAAGAATAGACTGTGGAAGTGGTTGTATGTTCCCTTATCAGTTTAAGGGCAAAAATGCTTATAAAGTCTAAGGTACGATTAACATTATAAATGAGAATGTAAGTGGGCATATAATAATAATGATGATAATAATAATAATAATAATAATAATAATAATAATAATAATAATGATAGTGATAATAATGATAATCATAAGAACAACAATTATAATAATAACGTTAATAATAAAGATGATAATAATAATGTTAATAATAATAATAATAATAATAATAATAATAATAATAATAATAATAACAACAACAACAATAATATTAATAATGATAATAATACCAATCTAGAATATCATTGACTACATTTACCTGTTTGTCGCGTGGTGATTGTGTTTCTTCTTCCTCCTTAACTCATTTCCCTGAATAGCCTGTAATGATATTGGCCATAACAAAACAGAAAAACATTCACATATATCCCGAAATAGCATTACCATGTCAAGATAATGATTCCTCATATATATATATATATAAAAAAGCAATAACATATCATGGCAATATTAACCTGTAAAAGGAGGTTAGGAAATGACATGAAAAATTTCAATGGCATCATCAAATAAAAAGGTAAGAATAAGGGATCATTTCTAGTAGCATAATTGCAGAGAAAATAATATGAATAGTAGGCACACACAGCCTTCAAAGAGTAAGAATGCACATTCTGAGAGGTCAGCGAAGCCCACCCTAGCTACCGCCATCAAAACATTTGAGATTTTTCCCTAGCACAGCAATAAAACCTACAGTTATCTTGTACAAGGTATATTTTTCACATTAGGCATAATTAATGAAAGATTAACCACGTGGCATATTTACAAGATTTGATCAAAAATAATAAATGGCTGAGTTAGCAAGAACCCTCAATACACAAGTCACGATAATATTTGGAGATATAAGTGACACGAAAATCATTGTACATCTTGAAGTATGCAGCAGCTTCATACCATCCTTATGAATAGCATCTCATATCATCGGGGAACATCATGACATCACGAATAAGATATCGCAACATGATACATTTTGAGT